AAGCGAACCAATGTGGAGACCGAGGCCTCCTGGGCCTATGGCTCCAACATCACCGATGAGAACGAAAAGAAGAAGAATGAGATATCCGCCGAAATGGCCAAGTTCATGAAGGAGGTGGCCAGTGACACCGCCAAGTTCCAATGGCGCTCGTTCCAGTCGGAGGATCTCAAGCGCCAGTTCAAGGCACTGACCAAGCTGGGCTATGCCGCCCTGCCCGAAGCCGACTATGCCGAGCTGCTGGATACACTCTCCTTCATGGAGTCGAACTTCGCGAAGGTCAAGGTGTGCGACTACAAGGACAGCACCAAGTGCGACCTAGCCCTCGACCCGGAGATCGAGGAGGTCATCAGCAAGAGCCGTGACCACGAGGAGCTCGCCTACTACTGGCGCGAGTTCTACGACAAGGCCGGAACCGCCGTGCGATCCCAATTCGAACGCTACGTGGAGCTCAACACCAAGGCAGCCAAACTGAATAGTAAGTGGAAACCTCATTGCAATTTTAAATAATTTAGTTGAAGCGATGGGAGGAGTCTTTCAATAACAAAAGATGTTTCGGGATTCTATATTGAGCAGGAACTTCATTACTTTAAATATATCTTGGTCATGTAACAAAAGGTGTGAGTTAATTATGGCAGTGCAATTTGTCACAAAATCCATTAGCTTAGAGTTGATTATTGTAGATAAGATGTTAGTGAATATTTATGAAAGTGTAATTCCCGTTGCCAGACTTCACCTCTGGTGCCGAGGCCTGGTTGGACGAGTACGAGGACGACACCTTCGAGCAGCAGCTGGAGGACATCTTCGCCGATATTCGACCCCTCTACCAGCAGATCCATGGCTATGTGCGCTTCCGCCTGAGGAAACACTATGGTGACGCGGTGGTTTCCGAGAAGGGACCCATTCCCATGCACCTTTTGGGCAACATGTGGGCGCAGCAGTGGTCGGAGATCGCGGACATCGTATCCCCGTTCCCGGAGAAGCCACTGGTCGACGTGAGCGGCGAGATGGAAAAGCAGGGCTTCACACCCCTCAAAATGTTCCAAATGGGCGACGACTTCTTCACCTCTATGAATCTTACCAAGTTGCCGCAGTGAGTACTAATATAAATCTTTAATTGAATGCCTATCTCTTCATTTTGTGTGTATTTCAGAGACTTTTGGGACAAGTCGATCATTGAGAAGCCCACCGATGGCCGCGATCTGGTTTGCCATGCCAGCGCCTGGGACTTTTACCTCACCGACGATGTGCGCATCAAGCAGTGCACCCGGGTTACACAGGATCAGCTCTTCACCGTGCACCACGAGCTGGGACACATTCAGTATTTCCTGCAGTATCAACACCTGCCCTTCGTCTATCGCACTGGCGCCAATCCCGGATTCCATGAAGCCGTCGGCGATGTGCTCTCCCTGTCCGTGTCGACGCCCAAACATCTCGAGAAGATTGGCCTGCTGAAGGACTACGTGCGCGATGAAGAGGCTCGTATCAACCAGCTCTTCCTCACCGCCCTGGACAAGATCGTTTTCCTGCCCTTCGCCTTCACCATGGACAAGTACCGCTGGTCGCTGTTCCGCGGTGAAGTGGACAAGGCCAACTGGAATTGTGCCTTCTGGAAGCTGAGGGATGAGTACTCCGGTATTGAACCGCCAGTTGCGCGCAGCGAAAAGGACTTTGACGCCCCGGCCAAGTATCACATTTCCGCAGATGTCGAGTATCTGAGGTGGGTACCTGCTTAATTACAAGAGAATATCAGACTAATTTTGATATCTTCCAGGTACCTGGTGTCCTTCATCATCCAGTTCCAGTTCTACAAGTCCGCCTGCATCAAGGCCGGTCAGTATGATCCCAACAATGTGGAGTTGCCCCTGGACAACTGCGATATCTATGGAAGTGCTGCAGCTGGAGCCGCTTTCCAGTAAGTCTTGGGTACTCACATAAATTTGCTTATACGTTAATGCTCTTGATAATCCATAGCAACATGCTGTCCATGGGCGCCTCGAAGCCCTGGCCCGATGCACTGGAGGCCTTCAACGGAGAGCGCACCATGTCCGGAAAGGCCATCGCGGAGTACTTTGAGCCGCTGCGCGTTTGGCTGGAGGCGGAGAACATCAAGAACAATGTCCACATTGGCTGGACTACTTCAGATAGTAAGTTTGCACGTTCATGGAAAATAAGGATATCATGTCTAAGTGGCTGTTTCTAATTTCAGAATGCGTGTCTTCATAATTCAAATGATTTTAGTGTTCTCACACACTTCATTGCTCAATAAAGTTGAACAGTATCTTACAAATGGAGCGTAATTTGAACTTTCTTATAACAGATAGTTAAATGTAATGGTCCTTAAAATCTTAAAATTATATTTATGATACAAATCAGGTAGGCCTTAAACGTCTAAAGGCTCCCCACACGTAAGTCTATGATACAAACAGGTAATTTTATGGCTCTGTAAGATGTAATGTTCATGATATATGAAATTCCCCTCTGAAATCCAAGTGCAAGATATAATTGTCTCAGCAAACAAGTTGTAGATATCGCCCAGTGAAGTCGTGGTTGTATTTTCTAAGTGGAACACATTATAATTACAAATGGCCAACTGGGCGCTCAGTTGGCCACCGACTCACACCACTGACCACGGATCGTCGTTGGCCCAAGTCAGTTGACTTCGAGAGCTGCGCAAGCGCAGAACGTTGGCCAAAAGTGTCGGGAATTTCAATGAGCTAATAAATTGAGTTGCGAAAGTGAGTTTAGTAGAAAGTGTGGGAATATGTGGATACCTGCGGTTTTGGTGAGTCAAGTTCGCTGGGTAATCTTGCGCACTTCCCAAACGTCCTTATGTTTCAGCTCCTGGTGGGATTAAGCCAGGCTGAATCGCCGCCCGATGAAACGTTGGGAAGATTTCTGAATGAAACCAATCAGCAACTGGCTGTTATATATGACCAGGCAGTATTGGCACAGTTGTTGAATGAGCTGCGCGGGCCGAATGATTTGGTGGCTCTCCTGGAGATCGAGGTCACCGATGACAAGCTTATAAAGTATGTGAGGACCCTAACGACCCGCAGGGCCAAGTTCAAGCGGTTGAGATTGGGCGACTCCCGCCAGCGGAGGCTTCTCGACAAAATCCCCCAATTGGGCTACGAGGCTCTGAGTGGCAGAGATTTGAAGCTGGTCTACGCATTGGCCTCCAGCATGAGTGATAGCTACCACAATGTCAAGTTGTGTGCCTACAAACAGCCGGGGAATTGCACGCTACGACTCATACCTGAAGTTCAATCCATAGTTCAAGGAAGCCGAGATCTAGACGAAATCGAGTATTACTGGTTCGAGTGGCGCAGTCGCGCGGGCTTGGCCACCAGATCCCAGTTTGTTGACTTTATGGATCTGTACAAAAAGACCGCCCAGTTGAATGGGTATCCTCGTGCCGAGGACTATTGGTTTCGATCCCTGGAATTGAAGGGCCAGGAGAGCATGGCTCTGCTGGACAGGATAATGCACGGCTTGAGACCTCTGTTTCTCCAGTTCCACGCCCATGTCAGGGGATCACTGAGAAAGATGCACGGGGAGCTGTTGGTGCCCAGGAACAGACCCTATCCCCAGCATTTGGCAGAGGTCTTCATTGGAAATGCTTTCAGGCGGGTTCAGGCCGAATGGTATGTGGATCTGCCATCGCCGGAGATTGGGTTGGCCAATATTACCCAGGAGCTGCACCGTCGGGGATTGAGCACCACTCAAAGGGTGTTCTGGAATGTGGCCGAGTACTTCAGAGCTCTGGGCTTTCCGCAGCTGGAGAAGTAAGTTATTTAAACAAATTTAATATAGTTTTAAAACTTGTTACCATTTTAGCTCGCTTTGGACATATGCCCAGAAAGTATCCAACGCTGATGACGATCGCTGCTGGCACAAAGCCTGGCGATACTATGCTCTACCAAGGACGAACTTCACCTACTGTCCTTTGAACGATGAGGAGCGTTTCTTCAATATGTTTGAGGCCCAGTCGGACTTGCATTACTATCGAGCTGCCTCGGTGCAACCAACGTTGCTCCAAGAGGAGCCCTTTCCCAATTTCAGTGATGCCATCGGGAAGTGTTTCTCCATGGCAGCCAGTTCACCGCGATTCCTTAGAAAACTTGGAATGCTGAGGGATAAAAAGTGGAAGGAGCTGCCCGCCCGTTTGAACCGCCTGTATATTCAGGGCTTGAGGGTTGTGTTCCTGCTGCCCGTTTTCTATGTACTAGATCGCTACAGAGTTGAAGTCCTGGCAGGACATATTAAGGCTGATGATAATGAGGCCTACTGGAGGTTCACTGAACTCTATACCGGAGCTGCTGCTCCAACAAAGAGAACCAATGAACAGTTCGATGTGCCGGCCAAACTTCTTATGGAGGTCGATGATCAGTATGCCAGGTAAGTACACAAAACCGGGTACAGTAAAAATATTAATATTGAATTATGATGATTTTCAGCAACTTTCTGAGCATTGTCCTGCAGTTCCAACTGTTGAAACACTTCTGCGCCAAAACTGGCCAGTTTGAAATGGGCAATCCAAGCAAACCGCTGGACTTGTGCGATTTATCCGATCAGCGAGGCATTGGAGAGGGTTTGAAACAGGCCATGTCCCTGGGATCTTCGGTGCACTACAGGGAGGTTCTAAAGGTCCTTCTTGATGAGCCTGAGATCAGCATAGATGGACTGCTCACCTACTTCCAACCTCTTCAAGACTGGTTGCAGCACCAGAATCAGGAGAACAACCTGGAAGTGGGCTGGACATTTATGTAGTTCCGGGGATGTCTGAACACTTATTGTAAATTATTTAAAACAGATAATACGTATACGGCATTTAGAATAGTCTTTCATAAGACATCCTCTGTAATGTTACATACGAAAATTTAAACTATATGTCTTATCATCGGATGATTAATGTTAAGCTAAAATATAAAATAGGAGTGGATCAATTAGGTAAACATAGCTATGAATGTTTAGCAATTAATTGATTTCAACAACCTAAAAGTATGCAATAACCAAACGAAAAAAATGTCACATTTTACAATGTAGAACAAATGTAGAAGTCTCTATATACACACGAGTGTCAAATTTGAATGGCGGTTGATACAAAGTTTGAGTGTGTTATGTCCATGGACCTAGTCTAGGTCGTATTCCTTTCGTTTTAGTTCAAAATGTGAAACGTAACGCAAATGTGGATTCAATAAATTGTATACCCCCTTTGATTCCGTCAAAGGTCCAGAATTGAAAGGAGAGACTTCTTCGCAATGGCGGCCCAGGGTGTCCATTCGTGCCAATTCGAGGTATTCGGCAGGGTGCACGGCGTCAACTTCCGGCGGCACACCCTGCGAAAGGCCAGAATCCTGGGTCTCCGCGGCTGGTGCATGAACTCCGGCAGGGGCACCGTGAAGGGCTACATCGAGGGTCGTCCCGCCGAGATGGATGTGATGAAGGAGTGGCTGAGGACGACAGGCAGTCCGCTCTCTAGCATCGAGAAGGTGCAGTTCAGTGCTCAGCGGGAACGCGATCGATATGGCTATGCCAACTTTCACATCAAGCCCGATCCGCACGAGAAGCGCCCAGTTCATGAAGGTTTGGCCAGTAGTTCCAGCCACAACGGTAGCTAATAGCGGGTTTTTGACGGAACAATAAAATTGCAGGTAAAAAATTGGAAGGTTTAGTTTTTTCCCCTAATTGAATTGATAAAATGAATCTGCATAGTCCCTTGGAAATCTGACATTATTCTGAAATCCTTGAGTTACCGATGGGAAGTGAGTTTGGGATATAGAGTCACAGTTCGGTGGCTTTCCTTTTATTCTCAATCAGTCAACGTCTTCTTAATGATGATTTACTTGTTGTTTACACAAAATAACCGGAAACAATCTAAGCCAAATGCAAAACATAAGCGCGCCCTGTAATTAAAATGCACTTAATTATTATGAGTCGCGGAGACTCTTCACTCAATAGCCACTTATTAAAACCATGCAAATAACTATTGCTGAAAATAAAAATAAAACGTATTTACAGTACGTGCTGGGTGTGCGTCATGAACTATTCACTCGTGTAAATTAATTACTTACAGCCACTTGGCGCTATTTTCCCACGGTTCTCACCTCTCCAGAACTTGTACTATATTCGATCTGGGCAAAGCGCAGTGGTAACAAAACCCTGCCCGACCTTGACTGGTAATTAGCTTTTTGCCCAAAATATGGTTTTGGTTTGGAGGGATCAGTTCCAGGTACAAGCCCCAGCCAGCCAACCACATCATAAAGTGTCTAATATTTATGAGCTCATATCCGAGACAGATAGACTTCGCAGATCCCAATCTAATTACTGCCTGAATCACATATCTCCCCGCACACATTAATTTATAATATATTATATGCATTCTCATTTGTATGTCAGCAGATTGACAATCAAGGCATCAGTCAGCGTGCCAGGCCATTCGATTCATCGGGGAGAAGAGTCATGCTCCCCCATTTAACATCTTTGTGGATAGTTCTCCTCCCATATATCATCTCGATTTTCTCCGGTAATCGTTCACCTGACATGAGTCACAACCTTTTCACATGCCGTCGGGTCAAGATCGAGTGTAGAAATTGCAAATTCCACGGGCGAGGGTGGCAGTATTCAGATCGCGATCCCTTGCATTTTAATTAAATGTACCTTCAATAGGAATTTAAATACTCAAGCTTAATGACTAGTTCCTTAACAATTTATACTTCAATATTCTCACAGGGCCTTAAGGTATAAACGTAAATGAAAGTAATACAACTAAGTATTTAAGCAATTTTAGAAAAGCGCTTTGCTTTTATGTTTTGTAGAAATAGTATAACTATTAGTTTAATGGGCTGTTAGCAAATGCAAAGTATCAGAAGTCATTAATTTCAGCCCATTAACCGGTGATTTGCTCTTGCCGCTAGTTTGAGTTACAGGTGGAACGCATTTGCTGCAGCGCGTTAGCTACACCTGTTTTCAGTATTTGCCGGTATGACTCAAAACACATTTTGATGCCACATTTCTCTGGGTCAAGAGCAACAATAAACTCGCCACAAATGCGGGTGGATGCTAGTGTGTGAGTCAAGTGCAAGTCGAGCTCAATCTGAGCTCTAAGCAAACAAATAGTTTAACGACATTAGCTTTGTATCGTTCTACTACTAATCGCGGGTCATTGATTTGTATACACAAAGTAGTTAGTTCTACAAAATTTAAGTCATTAAAGTCATTTGATTGAAATGTTTTAAGATCTAGATACTTTCATTTTTAAATGGATTGTATTTCCACAATATTTCTGTTTAGTTTATTATAATGGTGAGCACAAGAATTTCGGAATTTGACTCGCGTATCTAAGTTTTTCTCAATACCTGACCTGATATTGTAACTTCTAACTCATTTCGAGTGAGTTGCAGCCCGGGCAGATAACTCAAATGTCGTTTACTTTCCCACAGCCGACCATTATTATGCGGTTGAGCTTTTCGCCTGATAAGTACACGAATATACCTAGATACATGTACGATGTAGGGGCACCCTTACCCTCCCTCGAAATGGCCAACATGCATGGCAAAAACATTTACATACCATACTCACTCACACAAATGCTGGTTGCGACTCAGTTTTGTTCCCAGGTTTATGGAAGATGCGATTGTAGTTGTTGTCGTTGGCAGTGCTAATTGCGATTATCTCACACGAATATACAAAATATATAGAGAAGTTGGCGGCGACGTCAACTGCAACGGCGGCAGCGACTGCGTTCAAATTTGAATTCATTTTCGAGTTGAAAAAAAAGTAACAAGTAATTTCGAAAAGCGTTCTTACCGTCTAGTTAGTAGAGTTTTAGACGTGACACCGGACGCTACGTAGGCGGTACCAGAAAAAGGAAATTGTGGTTGTTAAGTGAAAGTGAAACGGATAGTTGCAGGTTCTTTGCCCTACCCAAAGATCATACAAATATACGAGTATCTCAACATATCCATAGAATTTCGTGAGCGTGTGCGCCAAATGTACCGCCAGTTACTGGCAATTACACTATTTAATTGCTTGTGAAAGAGTTAATAACTAAGCCGTCAACGGCGACCTTGGCAGTGTGGAATATAGATCTTAAGATAAACGCAATGCACAGTGTTTTGGCTTTGGGCTGTCTGTGCCTTAGCCTGACTTTGAGCTTCGCCAGTCCCCAGCTGAATCTGCCCACCCCTCAGCCCGAGGTCTTCTATAATGGGTACACCCCGAATGTGGCCACCACTCCGGCCCAGCTTCGAGCGGATCGGGATCGCGATCAGCGCTACGGACCACCTTACTCCGATGCGGGAAGAGGTGGCGGCATCGACGACGGACTGGACGACTTTAGGGTGGGTGTGGCACGTCTTCCACTTGAAAGTGTGCTTAAAACCGGGCATTTGCTATTCCAAAACTACACATCTGAATGACTGTAGTGTGAATCAAATAAAATTTGATTTGTCTATTAAAAAAGCATTACAGATTGATATTCTGGCAGTGTTCAATTTCCCATAACCTATTGACATTCCGCTTGCAGTTCGGCCAGACAGATGACGAGCGGATGAGGATCGGCTATGCCTATCCCTCGCCCCGCGTGAACTTCAGTGACTCACCCTTCAGTGGGGCTAGGTTCTCCAACCACAACTACGGACCCATTTCCAGCACCAGCACCACCGATCGTAACTACGGCAACGATGCCAACCTCAATGGGCGCTATTCGGATGTGCCCTACTCCGCCCAGGGAGAGCGTAACCTTAATCCCAGCGATCAGTACAACTACAATAATAATCCCAATGTGGAATTTGTGGGCATCAACAATCGCAATCGCTTCGAGAATCCCTTCCTTTCGAACCAGGATCGTTTCAACCTAAATCAGGGATACCTGGAGCGTCAGCGATATCAGCAGGATCGCCGCTATCAGCAGGAACTGGAGAAGCTGCGCATCCTGCTGGTGGAGTCGGACCAGAAGGGATCTCTGGAGTGCACCGCCAATGTGGCTGCCCAGTGGAACTTCGAGACGAACGTGAATGATTTTACCCAAACGGAAGCGGTGAGTGAGCGGTTTTGGCCACATACTCGTACAAATGCCAAAAACTAGTAAATCGCGTAATTGCGCTTCAACGGCACGCGATCTCTGCGATGGTGGTTGTAGGTGTGTTGGTGGTGGTGCAGTTTTCCCATGACTCGCTGTGGTGGTTTTCTTACTCACGCACACCCGTGAAAAGTCAGAAAAGTCGCATTCTGAAGGTCGAATCGCCTTGTCAGATTCCCAGGCAGACATGCCAATGTCATGCGTTTTCCCAACCAGACTGTTTGTGGACTAATCGGTGCTTGAAGGTAGATACGTAGTATGATTGGGCTCATGTGTTACAGCTCCTCTTAAAGTTACATTGCTTTATAATCGGGGCTTGAATTTAAGTTATTGCACACTAAAAAGAAGGCTTCCTTATATCATTTATATAATATATTATTTTAAATAAATATAAGGATTATCAGAATAGACCACAAAAAGAGCATTTAAATTTAAATTAAAACAATCTGGACTTGAATAATAACTAAATAAGATGTGAAATGAACTTAATTGTTGATATGCAATTTATTACATTGTTCTTGTGGTATGGCCTGACCTAATTAACAATTTTCCAGTTTATTTAATAAACTATTAAAAAGTGTGATATCTGATATGAAGTTTGATACATTTCGTAATGGGTAATGAAATGGCCCAGTCTTTCACTACTAAATAGCAATGATATTTTCTTGTACTGAATGTTTAGCTGAATGCTCAACAGAGGTATGTTGAGTTCCAGCGCATCACTGCCGAGCAATCCAAGCGAGTCAACAAGGACCTCATCCTCGACCGTCGCCTCTACAGACAACTGATGCTCCAGTCGGAAGTGGGACCCAATGCTCTGCCCCTAGATGTATTGGACAGGGTGAGTTACAGGAGCACCTCTATGAAACATAATGTATAGAATAAGAGCTTTTTCAGTACAATCGCCTGCTCAATGAGATGCTGTTCCTGTACAACAGCGCCGGAATCTGTGCCTACCAGCAGCCCTTTCAGTGCGATCTTCACTACATACCCCAGCTGAAGGACATCATGGCTAAGAGCAGGGATTGGGATGAACTGCAGCACACTTGGGTGGAATACCACAGGAAAGCGGGACGCGGAATGCGGGATAGCTATGAGCAGTTGATCGATGTGATGCAGGAGGTGGCCTACGTAAACAGTGAGTAGGAACTCTAAGCTAGAACTCAAGAACTAATTTAAAAACTCTTCCCTGGCAGATGTTACCAATGGCGGGGAGTACTGGTATCTGGCCTACGAGTCAGGTAACTTCCGTCAGGATATGGATATTGTTTGGGAACAGATAAGACCTCTTTACGAAGGATTGCATGCGTACGTTCGCCGGAAGCTAAGGGATTACTATGGTCCAGATCGGATAAACCGCATTGCACCCATTCCCTCGCACATTCTGGGCAACATGTACGGCCAGTCGTGGTCCAATGTGCTGGACATTTTGATACCCTATCCAGGCCGTAAGCTGATCGACGTCACTCCGAGAATGGTGGAGCAGGGCTATACACCTCAACTGATGTTCCAGCTGGCCGAGGAGTTCTTCACCTCCATCAACATGTCCGCGGTGGGTCCGGAGTTCTATCGCAACTCCATATTCGAACAGCCCCTGGACCGAAGGGTTCTGTGTGAGCCATCCGCCTGGGACTTTTGCAATCGTCACGACTTCCGGGTTAAAATCTGTACGGATATTAACCAGCGCAGCTTGATTAGTGTGCACCATGAGATGGCGCACATTCAATACTTTCTGCAGTACCGTCACCTGCCCAAGATCTTTAGAAATGGAGCAAATCCGGCATTTCACCAGGCGGTGGGCGATGCCATTGGACTGTCCGTATCCACTCCAAGGCATTTGCAGACCCTGGGACTTCTGCAACGATCCCTCGACGAGTCCAGCTATGATATAAACTATCTGTTCACCATGGCCATTGATAAGGTAATGGAAAAATGGGTTGTTGTGAGATATATTTTTCAGCGAATTCTTTCTTATTGCTACTGCTAAATATAGCTCTTATGTAGATTCGTTGTTCCTCATTATTCATTTTTTCCTTAAGTTGGTTGTGATAATCACAATCACCCATACAGAATTTGATAAATTCAACGATGATGTGGAATGTTACTTGGAAAAAGTTACTTGTTCCGCTTGGCCAAGGCCAGCGTATAGATATTTTTTATCAATTTTGTGGCAAATTTCACATTACTCACCATCGCTTTTAATATAGCTTAAAGAGCTTATCGAATACTTTCAACAAGTGTAAGCGTTTTATACACTTTGCTCCTTTTTAGGTGGCATTTTTACCTTTCGCATTATCTCTGGACAACTGGCGATACGATGTCTTTAGTGGGAATGCGAATAAACGTACAATGAACTGTCACTACTGGAATCTACGGTAGACTTGGAGCTTTTGGATAACAACAAGCTTGTATAACATTATTTTATATTTCAGAGAAAAGTATTCCGGGATAAAGCCTCCAGTTCTGCGATCAGAAAAGGACTTCGACCCGGGAGCCAAGTACCATATTCCAGCAAACATTCCCTATATCAAGTGAGTGCCCAAAATGTTCTATAACCATAGTTACTAAGCAAACATTCCTCTGCTTTAAGTATGTGCTGCATAACCAGGACAATTAAAGCGCCAGACAGCGGCTTGTCATTAGTTTTGCTATTTCTGATTACAATTTACACACAATCTCAAACATTTTCCGTCAAATTGCCGGCGATTACGCGTTGCGATCGCTTGGGATCGTCGAACCGGCCATAAAGTTGGCCCACTAACATCACATAATGTCCAACACAAGCACAAAATCAAGCTTCGGGTCTGTGGGGAGGAAAATGAAATGGAACTGAAACTGAAACTGAAAACTCACATGTCTGCAATGTTTCCCGCATTCACTTTCCACTTGGCTGCCGCCAACAAGCCGAGCGTGTTTAGTTGGCCATCATTTAAATAAGCCCGGCTGAAAAGCTGTTACGAAAATCCAAGACCAGACGCTTTTAACTGTTCAGGCTAGACTGCCAAAACCCGAGACGTTGACCCAGTAATCTACACATAATATGTGTTTCGAATTTTCACTCGTCAATGCCAAATCATAAGACCGTTTTGCCCAAGATTTCACCACATCTAATCAAAAATTCAATGGTTTGGGTTCTTTAAATGTGGCTATGAAGTAATTCCATGTAGATCTTTTACTGCAATTAACTGAACCGTTTTTGTAATTTTTTTCACTAAATAATTGAGTTTTTATTACTCCTTTATTGCGAAATTTGTATAGAAAATAGGTTACTTGATCAGCGGGTCCTACTGAATTTAATATTTTCTTGAAAACAGTCTGAGAGCACGGCCTGAATGAAGTGCGAGCTCGGCTCCCCATCAGAGCCATTAGCCAGATTTTTATTGCAGCCATTCTTTTGGCATTAGCCACACATTCGGTGGTAAAACGGAGGGCGGTGGGAGGGGGTGGCAAAGGAGAGCATTACAACACCAGTTCGCAGCGCGGGCATTGTGCTGGCGATTATTTATTGCATAATCAATAAACTGCAAACGCTACAGTTACATAAACAAAAGCTAGAGCTACCAGAAACAACTAGCCACCAAGAGAGTTAGCCCCAATATGGTAATAAAAAAGAGCTGTGCCTCAGCACTCAACTCAACTCGACTCGACGGGTACGGGTAGGGGTAGAGGTAGGGGTAGGGGTCTTATGGCTCAAATATCGGTTAGCAGCACATGTCCTACAAACCGACTGGAGGAAAAACGTGATAAATCCGTGGCCCACTTTATTTAACCCACTCTGCAAATTGCAGCGGCTTCAATGAAGCCGAAAATGCAAATTGAAACCCAATCTTTGTGGTCGCTGCAACAGGCGGCCAAACTGCAGCCATAAAAAGGAGTACAAAAAACCCAAAGATAAAGCCAAAAACCAAAAGCCAAAAAGCGAGACCAAGCCCCCTTTGCCTGGTGCCTTTGCTGGTGCTAATAAAAAGTAATGCCCACACCGCAAAATAAACGCTAGGAAATGAACACGAGTGCTCCAGCTCGAGGAAAGCGAAATGATGGTGTGGAAAATGTAATAAACATGTTGCACTGTCTTGGCCATTTCCCTGGCATCCCCCAGTCTGTAACTTGTATGTATGTAAATATGCCTGTCTGGCTGTCTTTCTGTGGGCGAGACACTTTGAATATGCAATTATGAATGCAAGGCGATGTTTACCTCATTTGAAAATTAGATAAGACATTTATGGGCAATGAAGGAACGACTTGATTTGGCTCCTCGCCTTCCATGTCTGCCTTTCTGTGGCCAAGTGTGTGGGCTGAAAAGTGAATTTGGCCAATGCAAGGCTACACTGTATGGGCCATGTTGCGGTTAAGTTCAGATTATCGCAATGAGGGGCTTTGCTTCAAAAGGGACCCATTTGGTAGTTGGTGCTTACTTGAACTCCTTAAATTATTTAGTGAGTTGTTTGTTAGTTGTTGAATTCAATCAATATTCATATTCATCTCTTGAATAGCTGCGTGGAATAGGTTGTGTTTAAATAGGGATTGTCATAGGAAATTAACTTAAGCGGTTGTAAATGGTTGAATTTATGTCAAATATCTGGGCAAAGTGCACTTAATGCTTTAATTGCCTTTCCTTTTTTGCAATACAGTATTCAGAAAGCTAATAAAATGTATTTTCATGTTCATATGCTTTTTATTTAATTTATATGGTGCAACTGTTGATACTCATAAACACATTGGGTGAAGTCGTTAATGAAACTTGAAATTTGAAATGACTGGAAAAATGGTCGTGTTTCTTTTGTTGTAGTTTGCTATTGCAGCGACTTTTTAAAATAAAATGTTTTTAATTATGTGTCTTAAGTTGCCTCAAAATTGGCTTTTACATACTTTTTATGGAGTACGTGAGAGTAACCAAGTGACATAAAATGCACTGGCACAAATGCAATTTTTCACTTTTTGTTTGGAAAGGAATAGGAGAAAATTCAAAGACAATTGATTTTTCGTTTTGATCACTTGGGTTTCATTTATTTAATGGTGTATCATTCATCAGCTTCATTTTGTATGAGATTTTTTGTTTGTTTTTATACAGAGTCAGAAAATATTTGGTAAATTAAGTACTTTTTATAAATCCGTTTCGTCTGCTTATGCGAACAAGCAACATTACATAGATGTATTACAAACTAGGTATAGCAATGAATATTACAAACACTAATACAATACGTTCGATTACAAACTGACTTAAATAGGCGTCTCCCTATCTCGAATATCGCACAAGCTTAAACGCTATCAGTAGTCTTATCACACGCTCACAACGCTGGGACGCTGCACACAACTGGATGGGTCGATCGCAGTCCAGCTTGCTGGACACGGATGTAGCCATCTCACTTGGGAACCGGAACGGGTGCACGAGTCGGGTGGACCAGAGCAGAAGAGGGAGGAGCCGCGGCTGGAGGACAAAACAGCAGCAGCAACCACATCGATGTTGCACCCAGGTGGTGTCGCTTCCGTCCATCCAAGGTTCCACACAAATCGCAGCAGTACAGGGCAGCCTGGTATCCTGGGATCCTGGGATCCTTTGGTCCTGGATCTGGCAACTGTCTGTGTTCGATCGGGTGTCTTGGAGGGGCGGGAGTGGGTCAATGTTCTTGTTCTTGTTGATGTTGATGTTGATGTTGATGTTCTTGTTGTGTGGGCTGTGCGGCCCAAATGTGTCGCTTAGAAGTCTTAAACTAAAGTTCCTTTACAATCCACTCATTCACAGTGCTCACGGGTTTCGTCAACGTTTTCATGGTATCCATTTCTGTTCTATTATTTTTTTTATGTTTATGGCTTAAGGCTAGAAGAGAGTTCGGTCTAAAAGCTATGTTCGTCGGTTACTCGTCTGATTTTCACTGAATCTCTGTCGGTTATCACGTTCTGCATAGCAAAGTGTGTGTAGAGGAAAGGTGGTATGATACGGAATGGAGTGATGTGTGTTATGGGTTCGGAATCTTTCTTTTTGGATTTGGGAAATAGTGGAAATGGAAGTGGTTTAGCTTGCCATCCCAGTTCATTCTCAATGCTGCAAAGAAAAGCGAAAGAAGGGGAGAGAAAGAGAGAAGATTTCGATTCACCAGGTTAGTAACCGTGATATGAATGGTAATCATGAGAGGCAAATTCATGCTCCACCTCGTGCTCATGCTCCACAATGGGGTGCGAATGGTGATGGATGGGCGCGTGGTGATGATCCTCCTCGATGTGCTTGTGGTGGAACTCCGGCTCCTTGTAGGTGACATGCTTCTCGTGGTACTCCGGCACGTGCTTCTCGATGTGAACATGGACGGGCTTCTCCACGGGGATCTTGACCGGGTACGGAACGTGTTTCTCCACCTTCACTGGCACTTCCTTGATCACCGGATAGGGGGCGGGCACATGAACCTTGACCTCGTAGGGCACTGGCTTCTCCACATGGACGGGCACGGGACGATCATAGGGCACATGGACGGGCACTGGCACCTTCTTGATCACGGGCACTGGCACTGGTTTGTCCACATAGTGGGGCACTGGCTTGTCGATGTAGTGGGGCACTGGCTTGTCGACGGGCACCTTCACCGGGTAGTGGACAACCTTCTCCACGGGATATGGCTTGTCCACGTGCACGTGCTTCTCAACATTGTAGTGGACAATCTTTTCGACTGGGTAAGGAGCCGGGACATGGACCTTCACGGGCACATGGACCTTCTTTTCGACTGGGTAAGGAGCGGGCACATGAACCTGTGGACAGAAATCCAAAGAATTAGAACCCCGGCTGCTTCGAATTCCCGTTTCCCAACCCACCTTAACGGGCACTGGTCGGTCGTAGTGCACATGGACGGGCACATGGACTTGCTTCTCGACGGGATAAGGAGCTGGCACCTCGTAGGGAACCTTCACGATCTCCTTCACCTCATAGGGAATGTGCTTGATCACCGGATAGGGCTTGGGCACCTTGACCTTAATGGGCACATGGATGTGCTTCTCGACCGGCACATGCACGATCTTCTCGATGGGCACGGGCACTGGCACCTTCTTGATCACGGTCAGTGTCTTCTCCTCGTGCACCGGGAAGTGGGGCACGTGGTGGTGGTGGTAGTCCTCGTAATGGTGCAGTCCTCTCTTCGACTTGGTGGTGTCCTCGCTGGCCGCTGCCTCGGCAGCCTTGGCCTCCGGCTCAGCCTTCTTCTCCTCGGCGGGAGCGGCGGCCTTCTCGTCCTCAGCTCGGACGTAGCTGGTGGCCAGGAGCAGGACCAAAGCCAGCGATGTCGCTGTGCGCTGTAGATAAAAGGAGTCCTTGTTAGAAGACAGCTGTGGCGATTGTATTCAACAGTCTTAGGAGGTAATTTCATATGCAGCTTAATTTTCATTTAAAAAATAACAAGCTTTTGGGATTAAGGATTAGTGAAAATTGAAGGAGTAGGGTATATATGATGACTCCTCTATTTAAAATTCTAACAATTTTAGATCACGTGAAGTTCATGTAGAACTACAAAGCAGAAGTTCTTTGAATTTGTGTTGTTCCAATTCATCTAAC